CCGTCACAATTTGCAGCTCGCGTCTGCACAACTAAATTTCGGTGGTGCACATTTTTCTTACGCCTTGGGTACCACAGCAGCATTTTCGTGCCTCTGTCACCAACCTCTCTGTCCAGTTCCCTCTCCAGATAAATCGTTTCTGGCATTAACGAGTTGTATGTCGCACAAATCCTGTGTAGGGGCTCCCGGTCCGGCTCGTTCCTCCACAGCCCTGCCATGTCCTGGGCAAACATGGGCAAGCTTCCAAGGCAGCAGATGGGGAGTTATTGACCTTCAGGAGCATAGATTGCATTTTTCAGCGTCCTTTGCTGTCCTCACCTGAATAAACTCACTCTGGAAATTTCTCAGAGGGTCACGCAGGGGATTTTAAACATGCGCCTCCTGCTCCTCCTCCTCTTACGGTGCTGGAAAAACGACCGGGTTTTGGGTTTATTTTGTGGAGATGCTGCAGGTCCAGCTGGGACCGACTCCAACTGGGAGAAGCTGGGTGGTTGATGGGCTGGTGGAGCTGGGGGGTTCAGGGCAGTTGGCATTTTACACATTGAGTCTTCTCACACGAGTTCTCGTCGTTCTTTCGGAGGATCGAAGCGGGCAATTGGATTTCAAAATAGAGATGTTGGAGCCGAGCGGGGGTTTTAAGAGGCAGTGCTAACGAAAAGTAGGTTTTTAAGAGGTAGTAGCAACAAAAAATAGGTGTTTTTCTCTAAGGCAGGTCCCTGGGCTGGAGAGGGGCCAGGTTAAAGGCTGGCGAAAATTGAAAGAGTCTTTTTTTCCCTTTAATTGGGTGTTTGCAGTGTGATAGGAATAGCGTGGTTTTATCTCTTACCTATACCTGCAAGTGTTCCATTAATGTGACAAAATATGAGCAGTACAACGTGTAAACTGCTGAAGAATTTTTAAAGTCATTCCAGTAACTTAAGCCAGAAACAAATGTTTATAATAGCTGCTTTTTTTCCTGTTCAGACAGGGGAATGGTTACGAGGAAGAATGCCAGCATACTGTGTGTATATTGGAGATGAACTAAATCTGTATCGTATTTAATTTGAGGATTCCTCTTTTTTTAGCCTCTGCAACATCTCTAAAATTCAGTATTAATATTTATATGCAGTAAAGGGTTGGATCAGGCTGGGGGAGGCACGGCGGAAACACAGCCTCCGCTCTGGCGTGTTTACAGCCTCGGCTGACGAGGGTGGGAAGGGAAGTTAAAAAAGCACAAATAAGATTTAATTCTGCCTAAATCGTCATTGAAGTTGTGGTGGTGCTCTGGTACCTGTAGGTACTGATGTGTATGCACTGCCTTCGATGACATAGGGCAGGGTTTAGAGTCACAGAAGGGTTTGGAAGGGACCAGTAAAGGTCCCATGGGCAGGGGCATTGGTACCAGATCAGGGTGCTCAGAGCCCCGTCCAACTTGGTCAGGGATGGGGCCTGCACCACCTCTGGGCAACCTGTGCCACTGATCCACCACCCTCATCATCACAAAATTCTTCCTTATATCTACTGTGAATCTCCCCTCTTTTAGTTTAAAACCATCACCCCTCATCCTATTGCTCCATGCCCCAGTGAACAGCTCTTCCTCATCTTTTTTATAGACCCTCTTTCAGGTCCTGCAAGGTCGCTATCAGGTCCCCCCAGAGCCTTCTCTTCTCCAGGTTGAACAACCCCAGCTTTCTCAGCTGTCCCCATAGCAGAGCTGCTCCAGCCCTTGAGCATCTCCATGGCCTCCTCTGGCCCCACTCCACCAGCTCCATGTCCCCCTTGAAGTTGTGATGGGCTCCAGGGCGTTGCAGCAGCATAGATGGCAGCATCCGGCATCCCCTGCCTCTTGATGAGCAGGTGCAATAAGTTCTCATTAAATGACATTAAAACCTCAGCACCCAGCCCATGCTGTGAGGTGTCAGACATGGAAACACATCACAAGGTCTGGGCTTATTCGGGATTCAGGGGAGGAACTGAACAAGTTTGGTTACAGCATCAATGCAGACCTAAAATTATTTAGATTGCCATTTTATCTTAGCTCCAAAACTGTTTCCCTGAGGTAGTTTCTAAATATTTTCACAATGAAAAAGAAAGTGGATGTGCTTTGGTTTTACGGAGAGGGACTGGTTAAATCTGGAGGATGCAAACAGAACCAGGACGAGGGAAATTCTGGTAACACCATTTTCCTTGAAATGAAAATGTGCAGAAGAAGTTACGGCTGACTGAAGTTTAAAGGAAAGTGGCAGTCAAAATGAAGAAAGGTTAAGTGATTTTGAAAGGTTTCACTTGATGACTTACCAAACAACTGGATATTAGTTTAGTGTCTATAAATCAGTTATATATTGCTCTTCTAAGCCAAAATTTACTCAGCCTGGTATGGGAAAATGCATTCCACTTTCTGCAAGTATGCCTTTACTATTAAACTCATGTTAATTTTTGCTTAGAAATAAAAATGTGCTCTGTGTGGTCATTCTGGATTAGATGGCATAACGCAGATGAAAACGTTCAGACCCTTCCGTTTGCCAAAATGGCCTTGCAGAGCCACCTGGTGATTTCCTGCAGACGTGGTCCCTCATTAAAGGTGATTGTAATTAATCATCCCCATGTGTTTTTAATCCTCAAGGCACTTTACAAACGTGAGGTAACTCATGCTCATTGCAGTCCTCTTCCTTAGATAAATAATGTTATGAATGCTGGTGTAGAAATTAGAAATATCAAGGGAAGGGGTTGAACATCACGTGGAGCCTTAAGGAGAAGTTGAAGTAGGTACCAGGTTCTACCCTGGATGGATGTTTGAGCATCCTTCACCTTTCTGTCTCAAATTAGGTCACTGCTCAGTCTCTGTTTGCCCAAGCATCTACCCATTTGTTTTCTTTAGGCTTCAGAAGCTCCTTTTCTCTTGCTCACCCATTCCAGTGTATTTTCTTGCCCATATTTTTTCTTACTTCACTCCTACTTGGAGAACATAAATTTCTCTCCTTTCTGCCCGCAGTCTCTTGTAACTTTCTGCCTCTTTGCAGCTCCTTTTCTCCTCCGCCATCAGCAGCTCCCTGCTCTCTCCATCTGCCAGGACCTTTCAGCCCGCCCTTGGCTTTGCAGGATGGGTGCCCTCTGCTTTAAAATTGGCTTTGGGTTTCCATGGAGGAGCAGGAACAGAGACCAAACCGGTGGGACCTGAGCCATGTCTTACACGTGGGGGAAGCTTACTGAGTATTCAGCCTCACTGGGCTCTAAAATGCCGATTTCTAAGGAAAAAAATATATTCTAGGTCCTGGTCTGGTGTTTGTGTCACTAAATAGCAGGTAGCTCTGCCCAACTTTGGTAGTCTTGGTCATGCTGGGAGTCGTATAACCCTTAATGTTTTGCTTTTATTTCTAAATCAGTATCTAGGACTAGGAATTTCCCTAAAAGTCTTGTTTTTCTCCAAGTTTTCCTGATAGAAATGTGATTTGCAGATCAAAAGGCAAATAGAATTCACCCAGCATCGATACGGGGCTTTGAGTGGTGGGATTTCATTTGGGTGTTCTGGGGGGCTTTTGGTTTTCAGGGGTTCTTTTTGGTGAGTATTTCTGATTTATGCAGTGCTTTAAAGCAGATGGGAGCAGTGGGGTCTTGGGGATGGATGCGGGGATGGGTTTAGTGCATGGAGATTTCCCCACCATCGTTGCAAGTTGTGGTGCCTCATCTCAATTCTTCATCCCCAAAGGGAGCAATGGGGAAACGTGTGTGTGGACAGGGGATTGAAATTTAAGATGATAGGGTCATACAAATCTGATGAGTTTATAACTCATTTTAAATCTCATTTTTTTTACTAAAGCCAGGTCAGCAGTGCCAGCCAAATTTCAGCTGCAAAGGCAGATCATCAAGTTTTAATCTTAAATAGCCTGGTGTGCTAATTTCAGTGTCTTTCTGGGTTTGAATGGGTCTTTATATTTAGAGCAGAAAAGAATGAAAAATGCACATTTAAAAACAGTCTTCCTGCCCCTCATTAAGGTTTTTGGCTTCTGAAGAGCTGAAGGATATTGTTAAATTTCTTTGGGTCACTTGAGACGGCTGCTGAATTTCATGGCTGAAGAACAGGAGAGGATAAAGAGCCGATGGAAATGTGATGAATATTTGTTCAAAGCAATATCTGCAAATTGCCTGTGCTGTCTCATATAGATTAGAGATATTAGAGGGAGAAAGAGGTGATGATGGACTGTGGTCAATCAACAACGTTTATCCCAAGTCGTGGGGTTTTTGTGGGCAGGAGGTGTTTACACAGTCTTTGATATCTGCTTGGGTAACAGGAATCATTTTATTTCTGAAGCAATTTGGTTATTTTACTTGATTTGCATTGAAAAGACATGTGGGTGATGCCGCCACAGCTCCTTGGCACATCCCTTGCACGGCATTTTCACGTGCCACGGTGCATTTTGTTGTGTTTTATTAAGATGTATTTTACTCCAGTGTTCTTGTTTAACCAAGGTACGTCATTCGCATTTTTTGTTGTTCTTCTGTGGTTTTTTTTCCCCAACAGATGTGGGAAGAGGCCATTGCCTTGGGTAAAGAACTTGCAGAGCAGTATGAAAATGAAATGTTTGATTATGAACAACTCAGTGAACTGCTGGTAAGGTTTTCTTAATGACACAGGCATGCAACCATTTCTTTTTCAGGATTTAATTTCTAAGCTTTTAAGATTGTATTGAAAACGTCTCTTATGTATAGAAATAGATGCCTGCTTTGGCTTTGTTGGACAAATGTTGATTAACTGGCTACCACTGGTGTGCCTCAGAAAGGCTGGATTTTATTTGTTTTTTTGCTTTAGCTGAAAGAAAACTATCCCAGTAATGTTAAGCTGATACATTTGGAGTATAAAAGGAAATTTGGAATTTAAATATAAATGGGAACACGAAAAAATGCCCATTCTCTCTCAAGTGTCTTTCCATATTCGCGTTTCTTTTTTTAGGTATGAATAATCCCCCACCATTCACGCCTAGAGTCAGTTATTTTTGCCCTGACATTACCCATCCATTATTCCCTCACCATTTTGTTTTGCTCCTGTTTTGCCCCAGCAGCATCTCCACCCCTGAATCCCCAGAATATCCTTTCCTGGGGAAGACAGAATAAAATCAAACACATGTCCTCTCAATTTTATGCTTTCTTCACTCCTTTATTTGTTGTTCTTTGTATTGGCCATGGTTCTGTCCTGCAGCTCTGAATGTATATCCCATTTTGAAGGTCCTCCTCCTGTGGCATTTCAGCTATTTTTGGTGCCCAACTGATGGTATTGATTTGCCTCACAAATTTGGAGCCTGGTTCCAGGTTGCTTTGTCCTGCAGGACGTTGGGGATGTACCCAAAGAGTGTTTTTGTGCCAGAAGAGTCTTCCTTGGCCTGCCGCCACCACTGCTGTCAGCAGGGCCGTGCTTAATAGCAAATATTCTGCATTTCCATATAAAAGGAATCTGGTAGAGATTGTTCCTCTGCTAGAAATGATTCTCGTGTGTCAGATGTGATTACTCACCAGTGGGTAGCTACTCTCCAAGTCCCTCATCTTTAATTTTCCCTCTCTATGCTGGCACATGGGAACATGAACAGCTTTGTCACGGGGGAAGCTGCTCTTTACTGACGGTTCTGTAGTCACTGCTGGAGCAAAGTCTGAATTTGAGCTTTGTACATTGCACCTCATGGCCAGTAATACAGAGTTATGTATTTTTCACCATTACCCTTGCACAGTAAATATGTCATTTACATTAAGTGACACAATTCCAGACAGGAGTGTAAACCAGCTGTGGTTTGTCTGCACATGGAAGTGAAGTTTCTAATGGGGAAAACCCAAAATTTCCAGGTCTCAGGTCAAACAACTGAGAAATTAAGAGAGATGTCACAACAATTAGTACCGATGTGCATTGGACATTCATCCCTAATACAGCAAAGATCAAAATTCACACTCCCTTATGAGCCGGGTCTCGCATACCCCATCACCTTTTCTTATTGCTGCTGCCGAGTATCATTAGCATCTTAGCTCATTATTTTTCTCCTTCACAATAAAATTTAAAAGTTTCTTTGTTTCTTTCTGTTCTCCCTGTTGCCTCTTTTGTTCAAGCAGTATTAAATATTAGACACTCAGTTCGCCAATGACAAAATAGTCGTGCTACAGGTGAACTGAGAAATACCCAGTAGGTCTGGATCTTTGTAGTCTGCTTGCCATTTACCGTTATCTGTCGTATGGGACCAGTCATAAACCTCCCCCCAGATCAGAATTTGTTCTCTTATGGAAAGTAACAGCCTAAAAATAAGTAAATGAACAGATCGTCTGAAGCTGCACACGTGTTGTTACTTCATCATTTGAGATGAAGGATTCCTCTCCGAAAACAGATGGCATCTGACATGCGTGTGTTTATTCCAGAAGTTACATTTTCCTGCCCTTCTTGACTGCGTGCTTTCCATATGAAATAAATAGTTGTAAATACAGAAAGGAAGCAGTAGGAAAATGTAATTGAATGTAGCAGCTGAAAAAGGAGAAGTCAACACTGCTGAGATGAGCTGGTGTCAGTGGTGTGTGCTCCATCGGTCCAGTTGCTGTGTTCCTGCAACCCGGAATTCAGGCTGGATATATGGAACAGTGAGGCTCACCAGGATGAGCATAAAAATATTGGCTGTAGAGTTTAGTGTTTCAAAATACCATGATAGAAAGGTGAAGGAAAAGGGGTGAGTGGACCATGTACATCTTAGAGATGCACATGAAAGAGATCTAGAGATTAATCACAGAATATCTAGAGTTGGAAGGGACCTGGAAAGCTCCCCCAGTGCAACCCCTGCCACAGCAGGATCACCAGAGCAGTCACACAGGAACACGGCCAGGGCTTTGGGTGTCTCCACACAAGGAGACTCCACAACCTCTCTGGGCAGCCTGGGCCATGCTCCAGAACCCTCACAGTAAAGAACTTTTTCCTTATCAAGGAAAGCATGGAGAATATCGAAGTTCAGGCCATTAAAGTTCCTCCTGTGTATTTTGCAGAGAAAGCAAGCCCAGTTCTATGAAAACATTGTGAAAGTGATACGACCAAAACCCGACTACTTTGCGGTTGGATACTACGGCCAGGGCTTTCCGACGTTCATAAGGGTAAGCGTCTGCCTTTTTCCACAGACAGCAGCAAGGTTTCTCACTTTGGAAGTGTTGATTGTAGATAAAGTACATTATTGTATGTTGATTTGTTATTTACAATCTACCTAACATCAATGTTGGTTTTTAGGTGTGTAAAGCAACCATTGGGTTTTCCTTTATGGTCTCTAGTATGGAGTAGTTGAATTTTAGTAGCGAAGCTTTTTCTTTAAACATATCCAGTACTTTATACTTCTTCAGGGTATCACTAGAGATTAAGATACACCACCCAGTCCATACATCACGGTTATAACCAGCGCCATCTGAAATGGTGACATTTTTGCCTGACAGGTATCTATAGATATATGAGTGTGATAGAGAAGAATTGTGTATGTGACCATGTTTTCATGTGAGTGTCCTTTCCAGCACAGTCACTAAAATGAAGTTGAATATCAGCAATACGTGTGATACCTTTAAAAGTAGTCTTTTGTCATTGATTTCCGTGAATCGTGTCAATTTACGACATAGATCATTTTAGTTTAAAACTAAAACTAGAAGTCATTTGGTTGATGTAATGTAAGTCAAATAATAATTTAGGTTTCTTTTCCACTAATGGAGTTGAACTGGTGGCTAAGGAGGGGTGAGGATCCAACACATCTATTGTTGGATGCTATTTTGCTATTTTGCTGTTCATATCTATCTTAAAAGCTGAGGATTTTTAGTTTGGAAAGTCTTTCCAACCCCCTGTGGAAGAGTTCTGGTAGTTTAAGGCAGTTCAAGAGACAGAAGAATAAAATTCTTCTCAGATTTTTCTCTTAAGTCTAGGAAAATCAAGTTTAGTCTCAGGTAGTAGATTTCCTCCTGGAAATACTCATTTCAGGGATGAGTTCCTGGTTGTAACTCAGTATCTTTGGACCTTTCTTGTAAAATTGGCATCATTTGCTGGTTTGCTGCTACTTTTGCTTGCTCACGTCAGTGCCTTTTAATAAATGTTGGTGTATAAAAAGCCTAATTCTGTTGGTTTACATCCGTTCCACCATTAGCTGTGGAAGATGGATGAGAGGAATTGCAGAGAGAAATGTGGTAAAGGACATAATTTGTCTTAATGCTTTTTCAATGGGCACCTATTTTATAGACTTTTGATCTCATATATTTAGAGCCCGTTGAATTTATACGTATGCCTAAAGGTAAGTGCATGTGTAGTATTCACAGTGCAGATAAGGAGATCTATTTGTGCTTTACTGAATTGACTTAAAATATTTGTAAAGTGTTGATAATATCAATGTAAACTTTCTCCCTGAACACCACTGGAGTCAACACTTCTCAGATCCCAGTTCATTACTGGGGCTACTTGTATTAAGATTTCACCTCTCCATTCGTTTCCAGAACAAAGTCTTCATTTACCGGGGCAAGGAGTACGAGCGCCGCGAGGACTTCGAAGCGAGGTTATTGACTCAGTTTCCAAACGCCGAAAAAATGAAGACGACGTCTCCCCCGGGTGATGACATTAAAAACTCCTCCGGTCAATGTATCCTTAGGTCGTACCACGGCTCCCACGACCACACAGGTCAGGGATTTATGGCCAACACGAGCAGGAGGTGGTTGTGCTTCTGCCTTTATGGGTGAAATCCATTAATTTTGGTGTTCTGTCCTTTCTTCACCTTTCTATTGAGTTGCCTGTTCTGCAGGATTAAAATTCAGGATTAAAATTCAGTTTTCAGTTCTTAACCCCTGAATTCAGATATCCAGTGCTTCACCGTAAAGCCCAAACTGGATTTGCCATCGAAATTTCACAGGCCGGTGTCAGAGCAAATCGTCAGGTGAGTTTGGGATGGGTTTGTGGTTTTACTGGTCTGCTTTATAACACTTAAACCAGTTCTTGGTGTGGTGTAACAGCTCTGTACACAGCCAAGGAAGGGACTAATTGTGAGGATATTTCATGGGTATTTTCAATATTAACAGTTCCATCCAAGCCACGGGAAAACTGGGATCTCATAAGCATTGCATCCTTATGTGTAAAGTTGTTCTCTAGTACTGGAGTTCAGCAGCAGTTCCCAAATGGGTAGAGCTCTTTTCTGATTGTGCTTTTCCCCCTTTTCAGTTTCTATCGGGTGAACGAAGTGCAACGGTTTGAATATTCGCGCCCGGTTAGGAAAGGAGAGAAAAACCCGGACAACGAATTTGCGGTAAGAAAAAGGAAAAACGCATTTAAAAAATTAAAGTACTTTTGGGGTTTTCTTGTGTATTCCCCTCCATTTCTAGATTCTAACCTATTCATTATGTTTTTGTTGCTGGAAAATAAATTCTAGGTTTAAATGCGAGTATTTTTCATAGAAATGAAACAGTATTCTGTTCTGGTTTGTACCAATAAAAATCTGGACAGAGCTGAATTTATTTTGGTAAAAACCAGCTGTTTTGAGGAAGGATTTCAAAATCACTACGCCCGAAAGACTGAAGTCTCTTGCCAAAACTTGTCTTACCGTGAAGATCCTGGTTAGGCATCTGAAAATCTTCTTGCAGTAATACCTTTTTCTTCTTTTTTTTCCTTTTCTTTTTTGCTGAAGCATATGTTTCCTCTAATGGTCAATAAAGCTCCCTTTGAGCACAGCTTGTATTCATCAAAACATTTACAACAGGTTACATCACGTTGATTGCCTTTTTTTTTTCTCATAGACACCATGTTATTCGCGGGGGTTCTGGTGGGCACAGTTAGTAGTAAAGTAGTAGTAGTAATTAAAGTAGTAAATTAATGCATCATTTCCTGAGCAAAGAACTCTCTTTTCTGTGTAGTAATTAGGCTCTAATCTAATCAATGTGCTTATAAACGCTGAGTATTTGGTTTCCTATAGCTAAGACTTGTTCAGACTCCTTCAGCATCCTTGGCTTCTTGTGGTGGTTTTTATATCAAAAATTGCCAATTTGCTCATCTATGTGGGTTTAGCTGAGGAGGAAGGGAACTCTCTTATTCTAAAACCATAATGCTGAAGAGCTGCACAGTTTACAGTATGCTTTGAGTATAGATTAAAAAATTCAGTTACATCTAAATCACTTTGAAAGCTCTTCTCTTAATGGACAGCCTTAAAAAGGCTCGTAATAAATAAGATGAACTACCAACATATGCCAGTTCTAACAAAATCAGGTCAAGAGATGTCTTTGACATCAGTTATGAACCAAATACACACGTGAGGAGGAAGAGATGTTAAATCACAGGATCACAAATTTGGGATGGGACCTCGGGAGGGCTGGGATCCAACCCCTTACCCCTGGGTCTTGGTACCTTTGAGGATGGGGATGGCACAGCCTCCCCAGGGACCAGTCCCTCTGCCCTCCTGGAGCTTTCCCTGCATCAGGGTGATGCGGTTTTGTGGAGGATGGTCCTTGAAAGCTCTAGAAGTTACGTGGGCAAGGTGGCACTGGAGTAAACCAAGTGAATCTTTTACACAGTGTTTCTCTACTAAATCACGTATCAGATTTAAATTGGCACAGCTCCATCATCTCCCCCAGCAGATTCCATTCGAAATTTCCCCTGTACCTCTTCCTGCTG